CTTGTATCAGCTACTAAGGTCTCTCAAAGTACAGATTTATTTAATGAGAACTGACTTTCTGCAGCTTTGTTTCATCTCCAGAGTCTTACTACTTGTACTTGGACAAAGTGAGAAGTGTTCTTATTTCTCTGTGTCACAGGGGAATTTTCTCTTTTGGAAACTGTTTTCTCACTGTTCTGCTCTTAAATTAATGATGCTGTGAGTCTGTTGGGGTTGGAGAGACAAAAATAAGCATGAAAATAGGTATCTCTCTAAAGGGAAGGGGTACCTTGCTTCTGTTCTTTAGGACAGGAAACCTGTTGGAAATGCAATTACTGGGCTTTTTGGTATCAGGAGAAAATCCATTTTTGAAAAGTATCATAACAGACCAATTGATACAAGTAGTATTATTACTTGGTAGGGGACCACCACAATCCCTCCCCTCTCCAGATTTCTTCCTTTTGACTTCCATTCTTGAACAAGTGCAGGAGGATTTTCCGTAACTTATTAGGCAAAATTATTTTGCAGCACAGAATTTCTGTATAATTGAGTTTTAGAAAAAATAGGAGAATGTATTGAATGAAAAATAACCAAGGAGTGTCAATTATTGAAGCTAAATATCTGAAATGTGATCTCGGTTGGTGAACGGAGTAGGTTTTGGTGGATTTAAAAGAATTTTGTGCACCTAAAGTGGAGAAGTAATGTAAGCTGTCTGGAAATTTCCTTGTGAAGCCACATGGTTGCACCTCCAGAAGTCCATCTTGGAAACAAGTCACTGTACTTCCAAATTAGGTAGGCATGTGTTTATGTAAATTAATACTGCTCTGGTTGAAAGAGTGAACACTCAAAAGCCATGCTAGAAATGTGGAGTAGCAAATAATTCTCCAGTTGCAAAGACCCTTCCATTCATGTCTGTGGCTTCTTGCAAGAAGCCACAAAGTAGCTGTGAGTTTCACTTCATTGCTGTGTGTATTTTTAGAAATGAAGTACTAGACCATAGATTTAGAAGAAATTTGTGTTCAGGATGTGTGTGGCATAGAGGACATATTTTCATAATGGAGTAAACTAGTAGGGAAAAATCCCTGGAAATTATTTAATCCCATTAAGAAGTCTTGTGAAATCTCTTTGCACTTCTAAAAGGAATGAACGAAGCCAACACAAGAAACAGCAGGATGGGTGAGTGGAGAGCAACAGAGCATAGCTGAATGACAACTGCTGAAGGATGAGAGTGCTCAGAACAGTACGGAGGAAGGCTGGCATGGCCAGAATGCTGACAAGGAGCAGGTCACTAAAGCAGTTTGGGATGCTCCTGCTGTGCTGATAGGCTCACAAATTTGTTCTCAGCAATATGTGAAATGCTGGAGGAATTTCAGTAGTATTAACCAGATGAGATTTCCTAAAGTTCCTGTGGCTTCCACAGATCAAAAGTTTTACTTAGAAAACTTATTCCTTTCTAGAAAACAGGTTTGGGTGGGGAGACAGGGATTTGCTTCTGTTTTCTTTCTCTAATGCTATCCTGTAACTGACTTCAAAGAGGAGCAAAGGCACCTCAGGTATTCCATGAAGGAGGAGGCTCTGTAAACGGCATGAAGCCATTGCACCCTGTTAGTCAACAGGGTCAAAGTAGTAGCAAGAGTTAATGCAGCATCGGGCTAAGACAAGTCTGCATTGTGCATTTAATGCTACATAGGGGCTAATACTATATAAAGTGAGTTGGGAATACTTCCGGTATTAACCTTGCTGTACATTTAATGAATCATCAGCAAAAGCTCCTCCTCTCCATGCCTGCTTTATTTCCTTTGTGGACCTGATGGCCTGTTGCAGCCAGACATGCTGCTGTTGTCTTTCTAACAGCAAGTCACAGTAATGTGAAGAAGCTTGGCAGGCGTCTTGGTTTGGAAGACAGGTGTCTGCTAGGGTGCAGGAGCCCCCCTTGGAATGAAAATCTAAATCCCCTCCCTCCAAATTACTATAATTTTGAAATCAAGGGGCTCTCAGGCAGAGATCTGGGGATAGGAATAACAGTTCTTTACTAGTGTGTATAACGAGGCACACAAACAACAATAACTACAGCATTAACAACAAAACAGAACCAGAGATCCTGTGACAGCCTTCTCGGCCGAGGTGGGAAGGGATGGAGGAGAGGCTTTGTTTCACAACCCCCTCGGGTGGGCAGTCCCGCTGCTCCTGCAGGGCTCTGAGGAACACTCGGCTGGAACAGCAGGGACGAGCAGAGATCCTGGGCTGGTGGACGAGCGAGGTGTATCAGCAGCTCTGCGGCGGTGGCTGGCACTGCCACACGTCCCGGCAGGACAGGGGGTGCGAGGCACACAGAGAAGAAAGAAGCAGCAGCAGCAGCTCCGTCTGGGTGATGGCAAATTCCCTTCTCCCAGCCACAACAGCTCTGAGAGAGTGTCTCGCTCTCCAGCCCAAGAAAACCAGCCAGTCCCCAGCTGCCCCCGTCCTCCCTGCTGGGCCCAGCCAAACTGCCTGTGTTTCTCAAGCGCCCAACAACTACCAGCCTTCGGGGTTTTCCCCACAGCTAATGGGCAAAAAATTCCATAGGTGAGAAGGAACAAAAGGAAGGACACCCAACTCCCAACAGCATGGTAGCACAACTCTGAGCCTATTAAAAGCAGTGTCAGTTTGAAGCTACCTGCTTAAAAATAACATGGCATCTGCTGTTGTAGCAGCTGGTTAATAGGCAATTACTTTCAACTTAACAAAAAACCAACAACAACAACAAAAAAAAACCAACAAAAAAACCCAAAAAAACACAAAGAAAACAAAAAAAACCCCAAAAATGCAAAACCAATTGTAACCAGAACGACAGCTGCTATTTCTGAAATTAAACACAGCGGTAATCTGTCAGCCTAACACTTATCTGTGGTATCATTTCTCACCCTTCTCACACCCCTTTTTAGAACAACTTAAATCTATTTGCTAGTAAAAGGTGCAAGAGGGTCTTTGGCCATTTCCTGTACAGATACAGGAGTTGATGGTGTGAAGAATCGTCTAGAATTTGTGAAGTCTGTAGCCAACTGCTTGTGCTCTGCAGCTGATAGAACACTCCAGATCTTCTCTATGATGGGAGATTACTCTTATAGTACAAAAATCAAGCTTTCGCATAGATATCAAATCCAAATTTCTTGTCTAATGCTTTGTCAAGCAGAAAGAATTTGAATACATGCTGCATAAGGGCAAAGACTGCTTTATAGATCGTTCAGTGCACTGGGCTGGCATTTTTGCAAGCTGGCATTTGCATACCTTGCCCCATTTTCTTCTTGTGTTCATAAGTAAACCTGTTTTTTCACATATCTGCAAAAGGGTTGCATAACCCTTTTATTTTCCTACTATGACTGTACACCCTGTTCCAATTTCCAAAAATGTTTATATGGAAAAAACTTCATTGCAGCAAGGTATTTTAACTGCCTTCAGGAAAATTCAGTAGGAATAGGGAAAGAGCAAAGAACAGACATTATCAAATCATTAGCCAACTCTTCAGGCTACCCGAATAAGCCCCTTGGACCTTCTTCTGCTCAGTTGGGCACTTTGTAGTGTTCTGGTCTTCTGTCAGTAAACCCAGAAGTAGTATCACACCATGTCCATTAAGACACCTTTTGTTAAAAGAACTTTGTGTGACATGTAATTTTTGAAGTGGCTAAACTGTATTTTCCCTAGTGGTGAATTTGAGGCCTGCAGAAATATGCAGTGCCCACTAATTTGAAGGGGAAAAAATATTTTTCGGTTTAGGCTTTTTCAGTCTGATTCTGACCTCGCTATTAAAGAAAACTGTTTATGGATGGAGTTGATGTTTTTGATGCTCCATTTATAGCTGAAAATGTCAGCATGCCAAAATGATGATGTAATTTACTATGAGAAACATTCCCCAAATGTTTAACTTTGGAAAGTATCACCTCTGCATCTACAGTGTCTTCTCAGTGCCTACATTTACATTGTAAATGTACTGCTTTCTCAGAGTTAGCCATATAGCTTTTGAAGTTGGCAGTGGAGGGTTTTACCAAGAGTGTCGTGTGCTGCCTTTATGCCTGGTGCCTGTCTTGGTTTCTACACTTCTCAAAGCTGTCAGCTAAGGTTTTGTTCTTGACCTGAAGTTTCTAGGTGTCTCTGAGAAGATACACTGAAAATACTAAATATAATTTCAAAATGTATTGTTTTCTCTGTGAATGCAGTAACTATGGTGCTTTTTTTGGTGGCATGATTAAGTTTCAGAATAAATTAAATTATGTTTACAGAGTGTGTTCAGAGAAACTAGAGAGCTAGACAGGTGTAGACAGTCAGATCCTAGACAGAAAGAAGGAAGAAACAAAGGCAGGGTCTTTGAGTATATTGGATGAGAAAGCAATAACTGCTGAACAGAGATAACATCAAAAACATAGAAGTACACAATAAAAGTAGGCCTGAGGGGAGGAAAAAACCACGGGAACTTCAAATACCCACCAGAGTGGTAGCATGGTTAATATGCAGTGGAAAAGGGTAAGGAACAGAGCTCGGTGAAATACACCGGTGACAGCTGAGAAATGCAATCATTACATCAAGTTAGTTCTGATGTTTAGCTACAGCTGCAATGCTATGCTAAAGGTTGCTAATACTAAAGGTGACTGGAATTGAGAATGTAGTTAAAAAACCTGTCAGCTCTATCTATAGTAAATGTAAACTATTTTGTGTAAGGCTTACCTGTAGTTCATGCAGGAGTAGAATACTGGTTTGACTTCCACTGGGATCTTTTTAAGCCTTAAGTGGCTCTAGTATTACCAGGACCTACCTTTAGTGTGAAAATACTCATTTGACATATTGGTATAAGTGTAACAATATGATAGTGTTATATATAGAGTCCAAAACTATCAAACTCTGCCTTGGCAGTCTTAACAGTATAGCTATAGCACCTAGAACAGCTGTGATTATCTCAATAAGATTTCAATCAAACCTTTAAGACCCAACACAATTTTACTGCTTCTGTGCTTTCTGCATTTTGTAACTTCGTTTTATTTTTCTTTCAGCTTTATCTTCAGGCAAGAATGAAAGGAGACTGGGCAAGGCTTGTACGTCCTACCATACAATTTGGTCTCATTGCTGCATCTATCTATGTGGGTCTCTCACGTGTTTCTGACTACAAGCATCACTGGAGTGATGTTTTAACAGGACTTATCCAGGGCGCAGTGGTAGCTGTGCTCATTGTAAGTAATTCCTGAGGGGGTGGGTATGAGTGAATGCTGCTTTTATGAACAGCACCTTAGAATTGCAGGCTGTGTTCAGAGGAATGCAAACCTGTATTTCTAATGCTTCAAAAATTCCTGAAGCAGGGAAGCAACTCCTTGAATTGGGTGTAGCAATAGTACTTTGACGAGTGAGGTAGGCTCTGGCCCAATGAATTAAGTGGTAGTTTTAGCCATTGGACAATATGAAATTGTCTCTGCTCAAGAGCTTTTCAAATAACTAAGATGGAAATGGTAACTGCAAACCATGTAGGCCTCTCTAGATAAATAATACTTTTTGCTTCTAGCCAAATTCCAAATCTCAAGTACAATGACAGAGAACTCTGTATAAAGTAAGATTAGGGGAAAGGCCTTAAAGAATAAGAATATCAAAGTGTCTGCCTTTGCTACCTTACAGTGTTTTTTCAGTCTGATGGGAAACTAAAACTCTTCACTACTTCTTGTGTGCATTCCTGCTACAAAAAATGTGTTCCCAATGAGGGACCTGTGAAGCTTAGCTATACTGATGAGTACATAAAGCTATGCCAGGAAACAGACACTTGGCTAAACTTGTCACAGCAGGCCCAGTTGACTCAGTGACAATAGTTGTACTAGTGGCACCAGAGTGCCATAGCTAATTCATCCACGGGAAGGGATAGATCAGGACTTCTGGATCAATGGGAGCAAACTGAGGCCATACTGAAGGATTCAGTTATCAAGAACTGAGGCTTAGCTGGAGAGAAGCACCTCCAAAATAAATGCTTTGTCAGCTTTCTCTGGTCAGAAGGGTATGGCTCAAGACAAACCTGTAGAGTAGTTGCAATCAATAATCAAAACAAATCTTGGAGCAGCTCTGGGAAATCATATAGGCTGCATTAGCTGTTACTAAATGGCTACATGCGGGCATAATCCTACCACTCATTTTTGTCCAATCCCTATTTTGAAGAAAAGTAGTTCAGAGAGTAAGAAACATCAGAGCTCAAAGAGGTGAGGACACTTTTATTAGGAAAACAAGTTTAGTCAATGATGTTAGATGAATCAGAAGGTTCTTTGTAATACAAGAAATAGAAAGTAGTATTACAGTGAGTAGAGTTAAAAGGTCAGGAAATTATTTTTAAAAATATACACTAGCACCAACACCACCCCCAGCCTCTTATCTGAAAGAACTGATGAATTCCTCTCCAAAAACAGCAAACTGAGGTTTGAGTATAGTGGTGTAGCAACTGCAAATGGATCAGTAAATTGAACTGAGGAATCAGGCATTAAGTGGAAGCTGAAACTCCCCTGGTCTGTGGCTAAAGCAGTGTGTTGGATCATCAGCCAGCTGCCAGTGTGGTGGAAGATTGTTTCTTCTGCCATGGACAGTGTTCCACAGTTCTTAGGGTTGCAGTGGGAGGGGAAGACACAATATAGGAAAGGAAGGGATCATGAGAGACTTCTCATTTATTGCACTCCATGCAGCACTGTGCCCAGCACATCTGCTATGGGACTTGGTGAAATGAACAGTGGAAGACAGCATGCTGCAGAATTGAATCAACCACCTATCTTGTCGTGAGGGAGATGTCTCCTAGTTGTGAAGAAGTGAGGTGGTATGTTTAAAGGACTGCAGGAAAGGACTATATAGATAGAGCTGGCCTTACAGCTGCTGGGTCCAGCCAAAGCACCACCTCTCCTGTTCTGTTTTACCTAAATTACAGAAAAAAAATAAAACTAAACTTGCATTGTGAGTACTCAAAAAACACATTTTGCTCCTTTGTTTAGAGCTGTTCGAACTATGGCTTGTAATGAAGCAGTGCCTGGTAAGGCAGTCAGCAGTCAGTTAGCACAAGCCTTGAATTTGGCTTAAACCATCAGTGGCTAAATGGTCAATGGCAAGCTGAAAAAGCAATTGAAAAAACAGTTGTCTGAATTTTGTACAAGACTTCCCTGCCATTTTTAATGTTTTAAACTGATTAAGCTTTTTATTAGTTTTGCTACTAAAATTTACCTGCTGCAGTGCCCTTGTTTCAAAGGCTTATGAGTGCAGGACTAATTTAACTGATTAACACTTAACACTAATTTGTTCACTTAGGTTGTATATGTGTCAGACTTCTTCAAAGTGAGAGGATGTACATTTCAACCAAAAGAAGATTCCCATACAACCCTACATGAGACTCCAACAAATGGAAATCACTTTGGCAGCAATCATCAACCATGAAGAATGACCTATATCACCTACATTGCTCTGAAAGAAAACAATTTCACAAGTCTAACTCTGTAATATAAGTAATGACCTTTAAGGGACTGCTGCTGCTCTTGGATGCTCACCGTACCTGTATATAGTGACATCTATCACAGTTACTGTACATCTAAACTTCAAATTTCTGTTGGTTCAAGCTTCTGCTTAAAAAGAAAGCTATTACAATTGTAAATTTTTATTGAAAACTGTAACAAGTTATATTACATACAATGCTATTTGTACATGCCTTGTTGAATCAACTGTGGTTTAAGTAAACACCATTAAAAGGAATTCCTTGATATGGAAGCCACGTGTGACACTGATGAATTTGTTCCATCATGTCAGTATAGTTCTGGAAGACATCTGCTGTTACAGATAAAGGCTTGCAGCAAACACAATATCTCTCTTGATTTTTGTAATCCCTATTAAGAAGGAAAAGAAAAATAATCTAAGATTCTTAACTGACACGAACACTATTTGAAGTACATTTGTAAGCATATCACAAGTATTAAATGGAAGTCATTGTACATCCATTTTTAGCCAACCTTTAAGTCAAACTTTGTAATAAAGATGTTATTCAGAAAGATAGCAGCAATGGTGCTGTTTACTATGAAGTCAACATGAGAAGTTCACATTACAAAACTATTTACCTTCATCATTCACTACCTGTGCAGCCCATTTCCCCGCCACTTTTTCTTCTAAAATTGCTTAATGTACCATGAAAGTGAAATACATACCCTCTGCAAACTTATTTTCCAGTTCTGTGTTCCCAATGGCTTTTGCAGCCTGGCACATCTGCCGAAGCAGTTCCTCTAGACGCCTCATGCACCGAATTATGCTACCTGTATGAAAGAGCAAGGGAGAACTTTGTGCCACATCATGTAACTGGTCCTGAATTATTCTAAGTAATAGTTCCTTCTACAATCCTGTTCAATTTATCTAGAAGCCAGATGTCTTAAACTTAGTTTCTGTTTGCACAGTAAATTTCTCTGTGAGGCGTTTCCTTGAAGCTGTTTCCAAATGCTTGTCCTTTCTACTGTCTTTACAGTCTCTAACTAATATCTATTCACACTACTTTCTGGGCTGTTGAGCAATTCCTAGCCAATTTTTTTCTTTCAAGTACTTGTTAAGACTTCCTCAAAAACCACAGAGCATTAGGAGATTCACAACTTTGCTGCTTCCCGAACTATCTTGGGTTTGTTTTGGAATATTTTTATAAGACTTTGTTCTTTAGTTGGCAAAGGCAGTAAAACAGTAAGTGATCTATCTTACTGCTCCTGTGCTACTCAAGAGTCCATGGACCATTCTACTAGTCCATGCACGGTTACAATAATGCATAAAAGCACATTGCCACAGCTCCTGCACTGCAACCCACACCCACTTGTGACTTATTAAGCATTTATCTCCTCTTTGAACTTTTCTCACAGCTCAGCCCAAGTCACTGTGACAAATTTCACAAAACAACCCTAAATGCTTCTGCTCTTCTGGCCACAAGCGAACAGTATCGTATTTGGTCATTTCCTCCAGCAGCATCTCCGACAGTCAAAATTACTGTAGGCAAAATAACTTGTTACTGGGTAAATACGGGAAGAAGGGCTTGAGAGCAGCCCTGCTGAGAGGGACTTGGGGGTGCTGCTGGATGACAGGCTCTATATGACCTATCAACGTGCACCTGCAGCCCAGAAAGCCAATTACATCCAAAGCAGTGTGGCCAGCAGGGCAAGAGAGGTGATTCTGCCCCTCTGCTCTCATGAGACCCCACCTGCAGTGCTGCGTCCAGCTCTGGGGTCCCCAGCACAGGAAGGACATGGACCTGTTGGAGCGAGTCCAGAGGAGGGCCACCAAGATGATCAGAGATGGAACAGGTCTCCTTTGAGGACAGGCTGAGAGAGTTGGGGTTGTTCAGCCTAGAGAAGAGAAGGCTCCAGGGAGACCTTATTGTGACCTTTCAATACATGGAAACATTCAAGGTCAGGTTGGATGGGGCTCTGAGCAACCAAATTTAGGGGAATATGTCCCTGCTCACTGAAGGGGGTTTGGTCTATACAACCTTTATATTACCCCCTAAAGGCATAATATCTGAAAAAAAAATCAGTATGAAAAGAGCATTGCTCAAAGCTCTTGGGAAAGAGAGACATGATAAAGTAATGCTTCTCTTCTAAAAAGCATTCATAGGGCCTCACTAGGCCATGTCAGTTTCTACAGCGAGAACCGTTTGTATAAGAGCAGTGGTCTGTAAAACCTGTTGCAATGACACGAGATGGAAAAACCCACACATAGCCTGTTGAGCACAGAGCACACACCAACACAAGTGACCTGTGGGCAGCTGCCCCGAGCACGGCTGTGCTGCACTGTGGCAGGCCCTGGCTCAGCTGTCAAAGATCCTGCTCATCTCCATATACAAGGCCGACCCCGACAGCCATTCCAGGGAGTACTCCTTTACAGGCAGCGTAGCTGGGCTTGTTGCAGACATAGTTTTTTGTGCAAGAAAAATAAAACTGCGATTTTTAAATTAATTACTATTAATATTGTTTATACTTCCATAAAGCAGGAGTTGATCTGCAGTTAACAGATACAATACTTAACTCAGTTCAGTGTTCTTTCCTAACAGCTTTAAAAATCTGCTCTTATTTTTATTTCTTCCCAACACACGCATTTCAGCTTAAAGACAGGGTATTCTCATTAGTAAATCAATGCTACTCCACTTTTTGGCAAACACACTTATTCTTGGAACACTCAGGCTTATTTTGTATTCCAATTTTCTCTGAAATCACTAGTTACTTGGATAACCAAGGTAAACTACTCTGGGGTTTAGGAACACCACAATCCATTTAAGGCACACATAGCCAACAATGGATGCCTGAAGGATTCCCTTCCTTTTGGATAAAGCACAAAAAACCAGCGTACTGAAAGTCAAGGGAAGAATCATACATTGACCCCTGTTAAAAGAGCTGACTTCAAAACAGGCCACTAAGATCTAATTTTGAGGGAGCTGGCACTATTGAGTAGAATAAAGCTGACTATCTTAGTACAAATATGGTAAATGGAAAATGTTACTGCCCAGTGTATTCTGAACATTCAAGTGTCAATGTTAAACAAGCCAGCTGCTTTAGTGTTCCACATACTCAGAGTGCTTCCACAGGAAATGGAAGGCTCAGATACTGGAGAAGCAAAGACTGCCAGGATTTGTGTTGCTCAAAAGCAACCTTCTTTAGGAAGTTCTTGGGTCTGTGCATTGGAATACATGCACATATTACGTGCAAGAATTCCCTTGTTATAAAGGAATCTGTAAACCTTTCCAAAGAAGAAAATAGCATTTGAGAGAAACAGCAGTGACAGTAATAACTTCAAAAAGGAAGACTTCTAAGATTAGTGCATCCATCCTATTCTTCACAACTTCCAACAGGCTGGTTTTTCATTCTGGTTTGATCTTTTCATTCATTCTTGACAACCCTTTGGATGGTTTGTTTTTACAAAATACCAGGGCTGTAAATAATCATACTTTTAAAAAGTGAAAACAAAGTATTCTTCCTCAAGGGGCAGTTTCTAGTAGTCCAATTTTAGGAACCAAATTAATACACCTGACACATTATACCTAGGCTTTTCAACTATCTCCATTGCACTGCTGTGCAAAACTATTCAAAAGAGAGACTTGGTTACCACTTCTCACTTCTGTCATCATTAAGTCAGCAGGAGGAATTGGTTATACCAACTGGTTATACCAAATAAATAAAAAACTTAACCATAATGAGGACAAGTGCAAGAGCTGTACTTCCTGATGACAAGCATTTGGAACATGTTTTTTTTCCCTTTAACTAGAAAAAGTAAGCATTACCTTTTGTTGTAATGCTTAGAATTTCTGAGTTTTATAGAAAGTTTTTAGAATACAGAGATATCCCTTTAATCTTAGATTCTAAATTATCAAGTGTCTAAGTATAAATTAATATATAGTAACCAATTTTTCCCCGCTTTATTTTAGCCATACAGATGCATGAATTCATCCGAGTCTGCTATAAGTTATTCAGTATTACCATTCCCTGCTGTGGAATAACCAACTCATACCTTCCAAAGAGCAACTGATTAGCCTACCTTCAAAGACATCAGTCATTTTGCAGATGTGTGCAAAGTTAGCTCCATTTGCCCATGTATACACAACATCCATTAGGTTGGGTTTGAAAGAATTCAAGTAATTTTCTTCATCAGTTTCCAGTTTTGCTTCCGCTGACACCTTGGCGATTCTTTTTGCACACTCCTTTAAAATAAAATATTTCATATTTATAAAATGCTTAACCAGAGTAAGTATTTAAATGACAAAAAGGCATGCACATTATTAGGTACTGCATTACAGGATGAGGTTTCCTTTTTAAAGTGAAATTACTCAGAATCAGAAAGTAAACCACTGTTTACATGAAGTCTGCCTGCACTAACAATCTACAGTGTAGCAAGCAAGCTTATAAAATTTTAGAGGCACGTCCTAAATTAGCATAAAGATTTCTTGCAGACTATATAATGTATTATTACACATTGCAAAATCACATGCAGTGACAGATGAATTCACTGATGATCCAAAATTAAGTCTTTACTGTGCACTTATTATAAGTTACTCATGAGCTTTGCCCACGTTAACATTAACCCTAAGCTCAGACAGATTTCTAATTACCTGCATTTGCCGAAGTGGTCCTGCCAACTGCTCAGTCAACTTTGGCATTTCACTGGACTGAAAAAGAAGATATTAAACAATCTCAATCTCAGTCTCCCATACATCTTCTCTATACCAAATTAGATGCAAAAACAGAAGTTCAATGTGTGATACTGCCACCCTAAATTATTCCAACAGCTTCTCAAACCTGTTAACAAACACTAAAATTACTTAATTCCCCCAATGTTTGTTCCTCAAACTAAATCAGAAAACAAAATTTTTCTGTATAGTATATCAACATTATGAAAAGCAGCACCTGCTTTCTGGATACTGCCAAAATTCCCTCTATTTAGCTGTATCATAGTTTTGATCTGACAAATGAACTGCCATTAATTACTTTGACAGTTACATGGTTATCTTTATGAATACAATTTTTTTTTTAATAACTTCAGCATCAGTGGCAATATATGAAAACATGGCTTCTCAAAATATAGGGACATTGTTGTGCTCCAGATGTTTAAACTCAATTACTATTGTTGAGTGAAGCCCAGTATTCTAATTAACAATAGCTTACCTCAGTTTCCCTTCTACTTACAAACGGAATATATTAGAACCTGCTCCTAATGTTTTTTTCATTTAGAAAAAAACCCTAATTTTATTTCAATTTCAAATCAACCTGAGTGATATATACCACTAGTTACTCGCAAAAATATTTCATATGGAAGTTTACTTCATATGGCAGTTGTACTAATATTCTGG